CTGACTTAGCGGTTAAGTGAGTTTTACACGGGCGTGTGTTGTAGCTGACTCCAGCTGCAGCCAGACCCTGCTTTAAATACACTTTGAAACCATGACAACACATGTATATCTGTATAGTTATCATTGAAAACAATTTAATGACTTATTTTCGTCATAACTTGATGCGAATGGTGAACTGACAACTCCTCTGACGGTCGGATTTCTTAATGCATGTATGCTAACCTGACAGCGTATGGCTATCTGATAGAACAACGGCTCTCAGCGACACTCCAGTCCTATCTAATAAGTAAAGAGACGAGCAGATGAATCGTACTGTTCCTGAATGTCACATCACTATATTGCAGACTTTTGGACATAGCGTTGTCCCATATATGCGACAAGTCAGTCAACACCTCCGCACAATAATTCAGGCAGTGAGTGACAACTTTTTTTCATCACAAATTCTTATGTGTCTCTGTACAGCTAGCTTTGCTAACATCACGTTAACGGAGCTTACTTTCTTTGAGCTACTTTTCTAAGTGACGAAAAAAGTTAGACGTTGTCCCCACCGTCTGTGAAAGCGAAACGCTGCTGAGTTAGCTGTGGCCATCGGATTTCTTACTATTTTTGCAGCGCTATTACCGACGATTAGACAAACATTTTCTGCCGCTGAGAGGAAACCACTGCGCATGTCCTGGAGCGCCGCGCGCGAGTGAAAGGTGGGGAGGGGAGGAGGAAGGGGGGAGTAACAGAAACACGTAGTTGCTTGGATTTTAATCAGTGCGTTTTGCATCCACTGAAAACAAAGATGTTAACAAATAAACTGGACAGTACGCTGTACGTTTGTGATATTTTCACAGTTGTGGTCTCGACTGGTCTTGAAATAAAATGCCGAGTCCTCAGAGCCCGAGACCGAGACCATCAAGAAATGGTCTGGAGATCGGTCTTGGTCTCTAGACCGCTCTCGAGACCAAGACCGATCTCGAGTACTACAACACTGGGGTTAATAAAACTAAACACTGACATTAAAACTAAATAGAAAGAAAGAAGCAGCTGGATCACTTTTAACTTTTCCTTTTAGTTTCTGTTTGAGCTCTGATTGGTTGGATCAACATTTCCCTCCAGATTGAATCAACAACTGGACATGATGAGAATGTGGGTTCTGGTTCTGGATCCCATCAGAACATCTGTGAGCTCATTAACACTCTCCAGAACCAGTGAGAGAACCTAGAACCGGCTGGAACTGCAGAGGTTCTGGTCCAGAAAACGGGTCAGGTTGGTTCCGATTGAGCAGAAATCAAATATTCTCCAGAACTAACAGGAAGTGGAGGAGGTACAGGCTGGGCCTCTGGTTCTCATCAGGGCTGAACCTTCGGTTCTGGACCTCTGGTTCTGATGAGGAGGACGGACCGGAGGGGTCAGACTGGACCTACAGGATAGCTGCAGATCGGCCCGGTCTCGGTGTCTGACCCGGTTTGGGATCCGGGCCGACCCTGAAACCGACTCGGGTCAGCTGGGAGCCGTCCAACATCTGCCAGCTTCCAGAGCAGGATTAACCCGCCAACCAGAACTGGGATCTGAGGAAACATCTGCCTGGAGAGAACCAGGGGTCCGGTTGGGTTCCATCTGAATTGGACCAGAACCGCCATCTGGTCATGGTCCAGATATCAGAACCTCCAGCTGATGCCTTCATCCTGGACCTGATGCCAGAACGGCTGCAAACTGAAGCGGGACCGGCCTCAGGTTCCGGGTAATCCGGTTCCGCTGTGCGCCAGCGGGGGGCGCTGTGATGCTGCCGAGGAGCCGCTGAGCCAGCGGGGAGTCCGCAGGAGGAGGAGGAGTAATCGGACACCGACCCCCGGAGCTGCTGCTGGCTGCTCAGAGTGAAGCGGAGCCCGGCGACAGCGGCGGCGGGTCGGTCAGTCTGTCAACCCCGCGGACAGCGAGCGGAGGAGCGGCGGAGCAGAGTGGGAGTCTCCGGTCTCCCTGCGGAACTTTCCCCGGCTTCAGCTCTCCCATCGGCGGCTGCCGCTCCGCAGCGCTGCGTGGACGATTAACGGAGTTGTGTGAAAGTGGGAGAAGTCGCGTTTCCGGCATCCTGACAGCCCCCACGATGAAGAAGAACAGCTCCGGGAAACGGGTGAGTCCTAACGGAACCGGCACTGGCTGCTTTTTACCGTTAAGCCGAATCTGGAGGAACAAAAGCCCCAGGATTAGGTTGAGCTTTTATTCTGAAGGCCATAAAAGCCGCTATTTGCTGCAGACTCTGTTTCCGACTTTCAGAAGAAATGTATGGTTTGTTATTGTGCAGTTTAAAGCGGTCCGGTTCTGCTAGGTTAGGTGTAAAGACTTTAAAAAGTTATTAAAAACAAATAAAACTCGTAAAGAGAGGGGCGATGCGTTCAGGTGTAAACAGATGTGTCAGTCAATCAGGAAGCTGAGAGGGGAACCCAGAGCACAGTGACAGTTAATCTGCCAACAGCTTAAAGGCTCACGTTACACACATCCACAGGGTTAGATAACTAACATCTGACACCTGAACGCACCACAGACCCGTTGGAATAAACAACGCATCATAGACTGATAGAAATTAACAATCAGGACCTTGAACGCATCACAGACTAGTTAGAATAAATGACTGGTAGCCTGAACGCAGCCAGGAGGACCCTGAACGCACCACAGATCTCTGTCTTCTGCTGATATGCTCATGTTCTAATCAGAACCACGCAGGTCAGAGGTCAGCACTAGAGCTCAGTCTGTTCAGCTTCCTGTTTCCTGTTTCAGGGTCCGGCGGACCCCGGCCAGCAGAACCCAGCACCAGACAAAACGGGCTGGATCAGGAAGTTCTGTGGGAAGGGGATCTTCAGGGAGATCTGGAAGAACCGCTTCGTGGTTCTGAAAGGAGACCAGCTGTTCATCTGTGAGAAGGAGGTGAGTCAGGGGGCGGGGCTTAGAGCGGTGGCTGGGGCATCATGACCTTTGAACTGGACTCTGGGCAGATTCTGCATGTTTCAGTCTGAAGAACATTCAGAATCTCAGAGTTCTACTGGACCCGAGAGAACCTGGTGTTCCTCTGGCCTCTGGGTTCTGGTTCGGTTCCATCTGGTTCTCCTCCACTTCCTGCTGCTGATAGGAGTCCGGTTTCAGTCTGAGAGGAACACAGAAAGATCAGGTTTCACTGTCGAGCTGGACCCGCCTCACAGAACCAGAGATTAGAACCTCCTGGTCTCACTGCAGTGTTAGAACCCAAAGCGTCTGGTTCTGTTGGTTCTGACGGTTCTCCTCCTAAGCCAGACCCAGATCCTGCAGGGAACTGGAGAACAGAGCTGGTTCTGGTTCTGTGATGCGTTCAGGTTCCTTTTCCTGTCAGCACCATATTAGGCCTGGTGTGTTGGTTCAGAGCGTTGCCGTGGTGACCAGCCTCTTCCTGTTTGCGGCGGCCGTCTTCCTGTCCGATCAGAAATAACTTGATCAGAACCACAGAGGAACCAAAACCAAGCCCGTCAGACCTTCAGAACCTTTTGACCCGATTCACTGCGAGTCAGAACCTTCAGAGGTCCAAACCAGGAGGAAAGTTTTCCCAGTTCCCATTTCAGTTAGTGGGAAGTGGATCAATAGAACCGTTCTGGTGGTTCTGACCCGGTTTCAGATCAGCCGGTCTGTGTTTCTTCAAGTGAGGGGGTGCTGCTGGTTTCCACGGTAACCACAGTAAGACCCCTAGCCCCAGAGGTAACCGATGGCAACCAGCTGGCCCTCTGCAATGAAGCGGGTCCGACTCGGTTCTGGATTTCAATTTGTTTCTCAAATCAGTTCCTCACAGATTTGCAAACAATCCGAGGAGATCGGCGCCTGAGGTCACCTGGGGTCACGCAGGTCAGAAGCAGCTGACTCATGTCTTTGTCTAAAATTATAAGAACTTCAGCGAAGTTCTGGATCCGTGTGGTTCCACTAGGCAGTTCTGGTTCCGGATCAGAAGAGAAGCATGCTGCTGGACAGTCAGAAGTTGGAGGTCAGGGCGGCTCATTATGTAACAGTTCTCAGAGAGTATTGATTATCGATCGATGATGCAACATCGGCGGGAACAAATGCCCCGGGACGCAGACGGGCTCAGAGCAGAGCAGAGGTTCTGCTTCTGATCAGCCCCGGCTCCAGACGTAGCATCAATAATATTACTAAAGTAAAAGAAAACGGTAGAACACAGAAAAACTACTCTTGTAAGAACCTTTTTTCCAAAAACATTTAGTCAGTGTAACCAGCACTCCCCACTTTTTGATCAACAACATCAGTAGCCAATAGGCTGCTAGTGAACAAGCTTACGGTGCTGTACTGCTATTAGCCAGTCATCTTTTAGCTAACTTTACCTGCATCCAGCAGCGTTTTGCTGGTTTGCTGCCATGAAGTGTAAACCCAGCTAGCGTCTTAGCGCTCATGTTGCTGGGGGGCATGGTTGACTCTGTGGGTGGCCAATGCCCCCCAATACCCGGACCTGGTGGTTTTGCTCGGCAGCTGGGTCGAGTCAGAGCCCAGTGGAACCAGCAGGGGGCGTGGCCTCCCTCCCAGGAAGTCTCAGCTTAAGGCTGCTCAATAATGGATGCCATTTCCATGGAGAAAGATGGGCAGGTGATCAGAGCGAGGACTGGGTTTGATTCTGACCCGGTAAAGGTTCTGGAGGTTCCAGAGCGGTTGTGGTTCTGCTGCTGTGTTCGCAGCTTCAGATCCTGGTGCAGTCATTGAGCGGTTCTGGTTCCGGAGCGGCCCAGCAGGTCCACGTCACCACCTGCCACCACCGTACCTCACGGTTACCATGACAACCAGTCTCACCTGGCCAGATCAAACCTTCAACCGTCGCCCGAAGTGACCGAAGTGAACCTGATGTTGATCCTCCAAGCTCCGCCTCCTCAGTCAGTTACCGGCACTTCCTGTGTGTGTCCAGGTGAAGGAACTGGGCCGGGCCGATGAAGTTCTGGACCTGTCCGACTACGAACGCTGCGAAGAGATCAGGAAGAACAAGAGCCGCAGCAAGAAGAACCACAGCAAGTTCAGACTGCAGCGCTGCAGCTCACCAGGCAACACGGTACACACCTGGAGACAGGTTACACACCTGGAGACAGGTTACACACCTGGAGACAGGTTACACACCTGGAGACAGGTTACACACCTCATTTATTGTGCAGCGCTGGTTGCATCAGCAGTTAGCATCAGCTGTTAGCATTAGAAGTAAGTCACCTGTACAGCGCTGCGTCCATTATGACATCATTCAGGTGGGTGGGGTCAGACTGGGTGAAGCAGCTTTAGCTGGACTGACAACAGGTAGAAACGTTTTGATTTCTGACAGACACTAACAGCTCATCATCATCATCATCGTGAAAAAAGTGGTCGTCAATAATTGACTTATCGTCTTCATTAACAACATTAACACAGGTACATACCTGTGGACAGTAGACCCGCCCTCTGACCAGGTGCCTCCTGTGCTGCAGGTGCCCAACCAGGTGTTCCTGGCCGTCAGCCCGGAGGAGAAGGACTCCTGGATCAACATCCTGAACACAGCCATCACCAGAGCCAAGAACCGGATCCTGGATGAGGTACCAGCAGAACCAGAACAGAACCGCCCTCCATTTGGCCCGGTTTAACCTGACCCTCGGATTCTGCTCCTCTAGGTGATGGTGGACGACTCCCAGCTGTCACACCTGACCAGAGACCGAGTGAAGATCCCTCATAACCGCCGACTGCCCACCAGAGGCCACCTGCTGGCTGTGGTCAGTATGACGTCTTCCTTTAGGTCCCACATCTGTCCAGAACCCAGAACATCCGGCCCAAACCAGCACCAATGCAGCACTAAAGTCCTGCAGGTTCTGAATCATACTGGTTCTGTGGGTGGCCATTTTTAAAGCCACAGAGTCAAAAAATTAACAGCAACTAAATATTTAGTTTGGAACTGCAAAATACTTAGCTTGCTAACTAAATATTTCATTAGAAAACTAAATATTTTGTTGGCATGCCAACTGATGAACTAATTGTTTAGTTAGTAAAACAAATATTTAGCGAGCAAAGCTAAATATTTTATCCAAATTAAAAAATTAGTTGTCAAGTTATTAACGGTTGCTAGCTAACCGTTTAGTTTGAAACTGTGATATTTAAATGAATAACATGGTGAAAAACCTCAGCTCCGCGGTCAGGATGGCGCCCCCTAGGGCACGGTGGGAGCTCCTGTCGGAGGGTCCGGATGTTTGGGCTCATCGGTTCCTCAGAACCAGCTGTCACCCGTTTCCTGTGTGTCCGCCAGGGTTCCACCTCCTCCTCAGACGGGATGCTGACCCTTGACCTCATCCAGGAGGAGGACTCCGCGTCTCATAAAGGCATCGCCTCAGAACCGCCGGCCCGGCCCGGTCCGGACTGTCCCAGGTCCCAGACGGACGGGTCGCTGGCGGACCGGACCGCTGAGTCGTCTTCCAAGTCCCAGAGCCTTCCCTGCGAGACGGCCGTGTGGCAGAAGACGGGTGCGGCCCAGACCCCCCAGCAGGACCGGCGGCTCGGCGCCGCGGAGAAGAACCGCTGCGCCTCCATGGACGAGATTCTGAACCCTGACGCCAAGAACCAAACCCCGAACGGAACTGGCGGAACCGCGGCACCGCTCGGCCGGCTACAGGAGCTCATCGACCAGAAGCTGGAGCGGACGGAGCGGCTACTGCTGGAGGTCCGGACCGACGCCGAGCCGGGTGGCGCCAAGGGCGGGAAGCCGGCGCCGGACGGCCCGCGGGCCGAGGCGGAGCGGCTCCTGAAGGAGGCGGTGGCTGCCTGGACCCAGTCCCGGCAGGTTCTGGATGAGATCCAGGAGCTGAAGGCGCTGTACCGCCAGCTGGAGCCCGGCTGCCCCAACAGCACCAAACCCAACCGTAAGAGCCTGATGTGAACCGGGCCAGACCAGAACCACAGCCCGGTTCTGGACTATGCTGGGTCCTAATGACTTCCCTGGTGTTCCGAAGAGCAGAACCTCAGATTCTGTTTCCCTCATCAAGCCTGTCAGAAGTTCCTGTTCTGTTGGACCTGGCCGGGTCCCTGAAGCTCCGCCCACAAACACCTGAGCATCAGGTGTCCTCTCAGGTTTCTGTGGTTTCAGGAAGAACTTTGACCCGAGGTTCTGGTTGGACCAACTCTTGGGTTTGGACCCACCTAAAATTCTGCTGTAATTGAAATGCTGCTTTTTACTGGGTTTTGATCCGGTTCAGTATCTCAAACCCGGATCAGAACCAACAGACGGATTTTGAGAGTTCTGGGAGGTTCTGAAGGAAACCAGCTGATTTTTTTCTGCAGGGAAAAAGTTTCAGATGTTTTTATTACAAAGTTGATCGAAGTCAACGTCTATGCAGATGATGTGGTTCTGTTGGTTAAAGGTCCGATTGGTGTGAGGCCCGGCTCCAGAGGAGCAGGTTCTGGTAGAGGAGGAAATGATCTGGGTCTACGGCCACATTCCAGTCCTGAGATGCGGACCAGAACCGACGGAAGCTGGTTCTGGATGGAGGCAGATAAAACCGGGTCAGGGGTTCTGCCTCAGTCAGGACTGGATCAGGACAATCCTTCTCGTTCAGCTCATTACTGTGACAGTCTTTCAGGTATGACTATAGCATTAGCATTTCCCATCAGCCACTTGAATTTTAGGATGACGGCTGTTTTTCAAGATGGCTGCTGCTTTTTACACCCTTTAAACCAGTTATTACCATAAAACGTTTCCCATTTTCATGACTCGGATGAACTTCATGTGACATCATGTTTTGGTCGTCCGGTTCATGAAATGTTAAGTGATAAAATGCAACAGGATCAGAAGCTCCACACCAGGCATCACCTGTCAAGTTTTGGACATTTTTGGCTGTCCACTGCTACCGTACCGTCAGAGCGCGGCAGACGTATGAACGACGGCAGGAAAGAAGAAAAAATATGGCAGTTTCAAAACGGGAGATTTGAAGAAGACAACAGTCAGCTTTTTTTTGTTTAGCAGTTTAGCGTTAGCTTATGTTTTTAATGCATTTAGCATTTGCTAGCATATCATTTAGCAGCTTAGCAATAGAATCTGCTAATTGTTTTAATTCACCTAATGGTTTAGCATTAGTGTAGCTAAGATTGTAGGTTAGCCTACTGCTGGCAATAACTGATTTTATTGCAACCATATACTATCCAACAACCATGATGGCCATTTTGAAACATAAGATGAAGAAAATATGATGCTAATGTCTCAAAATATGTAGGCTGTGATTTGACACCAAACACATTCATATAATTGGTGATTTTAGTACCAAAACAATGGCAGCCATCTTGAAAAAATCTATTTTAAAAAATGTATTATCAGACATGGGTTAATTTATATGATTTGACACCAAAGTATGCATCTGTGATAAATATTTTCAGTTTTAGTGAAAAAAATTCCAGCAGTGGCCATCTTGAAAGATGGCAGCCATCTCCAATTTTTCAGTGGCAGTGTTTTTTTTCAAAGAAGCAAGCCCCGGTAACATCTGTGCCAAGTTAGGTTGTAGCTTCCGCATGTTACCTGTTGCTCTGCGGCGTCTCCACTGGGCGGAGAACCTGGCTGTCCAGAACCGTCCAAAGGTTCTGTTGGATCCACAGAGGGAACAGAAGGTCCATTTGAGTTTTAGCTCGTTTGGCTTTCTGTGGAACAGAACTGACCTGTTCACACCTGCAGGTTTTCTAGAAGGTTCTGCTGAGAATAGCTGGTTCTGACTTTCCCAAGCCGTTCAGAACCAGAACCTGCTGCTTCTCAGGTAGATTTAAACGGACCGGCCGGACCGCCAGGCTGAATGTGCCAACAGTTCTTTGTTCCATAAAATTCTGGTTCGATCCAGAGTGTTGGATCGGACCTCCCATGTGGTGTTTCTTACTCAGACTGATGGTTTCTATGGAGCAGGAGGTACCGGCAGATCCATTTCAGGGTTCTAACAGAACCGCTGACTCCAGCTGATGGACCGGCTGGAGAAGATTCCTCATGCAGGACAATCGGCTTTTCCTCCTGTGTGGTTCCGTTTCTTTGGTTCGACCCAAACTGCTCCAACAGTCATGAACCAGAACACCACCACTGATTCTGGTTCTGTTTCGACCAGCTGGTTCTGCTCCGTATTGGTACGATGTTGGACTGAGCTCTCGTGGATTTTTCGCCGTTTTCCAGCCTCAGTCGCTTATTATCTAAATGTATTCCTGTGGCCTTAAACCCTGCAGGGGATCATGGGAGATGTAGTTCAGTTGAGATGGGAGCCACTGGAGCAGCTGAGAGTTCTGACCTGTTAATGTGCTGAAATAAAATCTGTAAAGTGAATCTGGATGTGTGGAGTCTCACTGTGGCGCTAGCAAGGAGCTCACTAACGTTAACAAGGAGCTGGCTAATGCTAACGGCTCCCTGGGTTAGCTTGATCATACTACTAAATATATAAAACAGTCAAAAATAACCAATAAGCAAAGCTAAATGTTTATCTCAACAAGTTTGAAGTTATTTAGATGGAAAGCAAATATTTAGCTTCAAATTAAACATTTAGTTGGGAAGCTAAAAGTTTAATTTGAAGATAAGTATTTAGCTTACAAACCAAATATTTTGCTTGCTGATTAAATATTTAGGATATTAATAGGACATTGTTTCAGGACAAAGTGAAGTGGTTCTGGTTCTGGTGTGTTGGATCAAGATTCTGTTTAATGGAGGAAGCAGAAGTTCATCAGAACCGTTTAGATTACCCAGGACACGACTGGCTTGGACTGGTGTAAACCAATATAAACTGGGTTTGAACCAGTCTAAACTCCAGTCTGGAGTGGCAGGTTTCTGTAATCTTCAGTCTGAAACCAGTTTAAGTCACACTGGATCTGAACTGGTTCAGACTTTCCAACCTAATCAAAGTTAAAATTTGATCCAATCCTCACATCTGGAGTGTGAACGCAGCCCGAGCTGCACCAGTTCAGAACTGGGTCACTTAAACTGGTTTAAAATGGTCCTGTGAGATTCTCAGCTCCAGTCTGGACCCGGTGGTATTCAAACTGAATGCAAACTCCTTAATGTCTGTTTCCATGACGACGGCAACGTGAGATCACAGGAGGGAACAGGTGCGGCTGATTTGTTTGTTGGGACATCCAGTTGGTCAAACTGGGACAGACGCTGCGCTCTCACCAACAGCCGGGATGACCTTTGACCTCCCAGCAGCGTCTCACCCAAGCCCGGACTGAAGAGCCAACCCACAGCACAACTCTGCCACCACCGCACCGAGCTGTAATGTTCTGGTTCTGGATGCTCCAGATGGAACCAAACCAGAACCTTGCTCAACATCATGGTAACGGTGTGGCAGGGCGCTATTAAAGGGCCGGTGTCTGAAAACTCCCTCTGTGCTTCTGTGTTCCTTAGTCTCTTTCTTCCTTATAAGGAGAACAGGAAGCTTTGTCTCCTCTGTGAAGTGTGTGTGTGTGTATGTGTGTGGTCTAACAGGGAGCTGATGTGAACCAGGAAGTCATGTGACCAGCAGGTCATGTGACCGACCCAATTTAGAAATAAACTGCCATTATTTCCTAATGATCAGCTGAAGGACCAGAACCGCCTGAAAGCCAGGTTGTCATGGCAACGCTATGGCACAGTGGCACAGAGCCGCCCTCTGCAGGTGAAACCGTGGAACTGCAGCAGTTTAATAATCAACTGGAAGGAGAAAAAGTTGAACTTTAAATTATGAATGTTTAGACCAGCAACATCAAACTGGGTCCAGTTTCTGGGTCAGAACCAATAAAAGTTGATTTTAATGACCGAACGGCTAACGGCACTAGCTGTCCTCAAGGTTTACTTCAACACAACTGGAAAGTTGAGTCGAAGGAGAAAAGGTAAACTCCAGTGGTTAAGGACACCAGTGGTACCTGCTCTAATCGCCAGGGCAACAGGTGTCCGAACCGGGTTCTGGTTCTGATGGATGAGAAGCTTCATGCTGGTCTGGTTTCAGTGGTTTTATTCCAAAACTCTCTGCGGTTACAGCGCCACCATCAGCTCAAGACAGGAATAAAAAAATAAAATCGGGTCAGAGAAGTTGAGACGACACCAGAACCTACAGGACCGCCACGTCTATTTACACGGGGAGGGGCGGGGCTGGGGGCGGGGCCAACAGGAACAGTCCAATAGAGTCCCAGAGAGGCGTCCAATCAGAGCGCAGCACTGCAGGAGGCGCTGAGCATCATGGGTAATGGAGTCTCCCACTGGAAGGTCAGGCTGACAGAACCGGGCCACTGGAGCAGAACTGGTCCTGGTTCTGACCCAGATCAGAACCAGGACCGGGTCCGAAACCTGTGATGGTTCTGGTTCTGTTCATGATTAAAACTGGAGGATCTTCATCATCATCATCATCCAGACAGCTTCCCGTCTGGTTACCATGGTAACAGGGCTTCCTGCTCATCTACGTCTCTGAGGCCACGCCCAGCAGGGGGAGGGGTGAGCGGGTAAGGGGCGGGGCCAGGTATGTCCTCTACTCGTCATCGTCATCATCACCTTCATCGTCTGCGTCCCTCTTCCTCTTCTCGCCCTGAGCCGGAGCATCATCATCCTCTGAGGAAGAAACCACAGCACTCAGACGGAGAGGCTGAGCAGAACCAGAACCGGAACCGAGACATCTTTACTTCAGACCCACCTCCATCTTCCTCCTCCTCATCATCTTCCTCTTCCTCCACATAGTCTCCATCATCTTCCTCGTCCTGAAAGACAAGCAGTGTTGGTGTTAGCTGCAGCGCCCCCTGCTGGTGACTGAGACATCACAGACTCACCTGGATTCCCTCCTTCATCAGGTAGGACAGCCCCACCTCAGAACCTTCCTCCTCGTCCTCCTCCTCATCCTCCTCGTCCTCGTCTCCAGGCGGCCCGGCTTCATCATCCTCATCTGGGACAGAGCAGCGCGGCATCACACACGGAACCAGAAGCACCGGGCTGACCGGACTGGAGCCAGAACTCACCGTTGGACTCGGGCACCTCGTTGTCATCCGGGTCGAAGCCGTCCAGGTAGACAACCTGCGGCAGCAGGCGGAACACGGCGTCGCGGTAACCATCGGCCGCCGTCACGCCGCAGCTGTACAGGTCCAAACTTTTCAGGTTCTTCAGGTTCTGCTGCAGGGAGGCAGGCCGGGTCAGCTGGGTCCAACAGAACCGCACACATTCACAGCAGCACACATGACCCCCAAACAGAACCCGGCCAGAACTTTACTGCAAACATCTGAACCACTTAGAACCGGTCGCAGCCGGGTCAGAACCTACCAGCGGCTGCAGGCTGCTCAGCTCCTTGATGTGGTTGCCGCTCAGGTTCAGGTAGCTCAGGTTGGGGCATTTCTCCGCCAGCGCGTCCAGACCTCCAGAGATGGAGTTGTCGCTCACCTCCAGCTGAAACACACAGTCCCTGTCAGAGTCCAGATCGGAGTGGTACCGGAACCCTCCAGAACCGGACCCACCTTCCTGAGCTTGGGCAGCGCCGGCAGCTTGGCCAGCGAGCCGAGGCCGACGTTCACCATGCTGAGGACCTCCAGCGCCGAGAACTCCTCTGTCACGCCCTCCACCTCCCCGTCCGCCGAGCGGCAGCTGTCCACCACCAGCTCCCTCACCTGTGGACAGGTGGACCGGGTCAGAACCGCTGGCCGGGCCACAGCCAAGGACCGGGCCAGAACAGTCAGCAGGATCAACTAGTCCCCAACACAAGCATCCAACATGGCTGCCAGAGGCAAATTAAACCTGCTGATCAGTTTTTTTGTTTCTACAGCTCGACCCGATTCTCTTCCTCTCATGCTAAGGGGGCTATTAGAAGCGCTTGGGTGCCATCTAGAGGTCAGTGTGTGAACGACACCTGCTGCATGGAGCCTTAAGTCAGAAAGTGGCTGATAAATAATGTTAATCCTGAGCTGGGTTGATAATAAAAATATATATTTATGCTGACTAATATCTTTTAGATATGATACATTAAAATAAATTATTTGTGATTATTCTGAAAGTTAATTCTAATTTTGGTTTGAACATTTTTAGCGACACATGAGAGTGATACTGGCATTATTGAGGAATAATTGCAAATAACGTAATTTATGTGCATTGATTCTGAGTATCCAACTTACAATCAAATGATTACTTTAGATTCCAAGAAATGTATAAATATATATGTTAAAATTCAATTTTAAGTTATTTTTATATTACAAAGAGGACAAGAGTCCCACGAGAGACTGAGCAGCAATGGAATTGTGAAGTATTTAATTGTATCTGAAACATAATGATGCAAAAGCAATGGTTGTTCAAAAACATATTTTGACTCATTTTTAAAGTCTTGAGCAAAAACAGCATCAATAAAATACACATTCTGAGGCTGAGCAGCTTTTCAGTGCCTGGTGTCACTAATTAGCATCACAGCTAAATTTACATTAATGATGGCTGCAATGTTCAACTTCATAATTAAGTAATTTAACATCTGACAGCAAAACTATGTTTTGTAAAATTGGACATAAACTCAGATTATAGTGTTAAAACAGCAGTAAATCTCGACAGTCTTTTAGAGACATATCTTCAATAACGGGGGGAAAAAATCAATCTGTCTGATGTGGAGATGTTGATCTGAAGCAGGTAACTGGTCGGATCACTCAGGTGTGAACTAGACCCGAGAACCGGGTTGCTGTTATCTGAAAGTCAACCAGCTTCAACACTGAAGGGAAACGTTAAAGGCCAAGAATGGCCGACTGACCTGAAGTGATCACTTTGTTCCTGGACCAGAGAGCAGAATCCGTCCAGGTTTGTAGCTTTGACTCACCAGAAAGAGATTTAAATGATGATGAACTGTTCTGATAAACTAGTGGGACAGTTTCGTCTTTTCTTTTTTTTTTCTTCTTTTTTTTAGCAATGAATGAATAAAATGTGCTAAAACTGGACAAATTAGGTAAAATCTTCCCTGAAACCAGGCTGGATCTGTCAGCTGTTCATTCATAACTGAGGGTATTTCCGTCAGTTTAACATTAGCTTTTAATATATATATATATATATTAGTTTATACCAGTATCGGTTATAATTTAAAATATCTGGCATTAACAGGTAAAATTATTCGCTCTGTGAATTCGCTCTCTGAAATCACATTTTAGTTTTATTTTCTAGTTAAATGTGTTGAAAACTGAGACAACGTTTTAAAATCCAAACATGTTTCTGTAGGTAAAATGACTGAACCTTGTTTCCTCCATCCATCCAGCGCCCTGACCGCCGCTCCCTCCCGCTCGGACACCGACCACCTGCAGCTCTGAGGCGGTTAGAGGAGAGACAAGCAACCCGCAGCCAGGAAACACCATCTGGGTGTCTGGAAACAAACGGTCCCAGGTTTCCCTGAACTCGGTTTATCTGAGTTAAAATCCGCCACAATCCAACTGTTCTCCGGAGATTGGGCTGCTGCAGCATGAAAAGATTCAAAAACTAAGACAAACTGCTCATGGTGGAATAAAACTGGGCCGAACTGATCCGAAACACCTGGAAACACGTTTCAGCATTTTTTCGACCCGAATCCAACACGAAGTCTGGGTTTACATCCAGCAAAATATCAGTTAAGGTTTTGAACATGGAGTCTGGTCTAATGCGCCATTAGTGTCAACGAAATCCAACTATTTAACTCTGAAGGTTACAATGAGAGTTGTTTCAATTCGAGCTCCTAGCAGCGGCCTTTAACCGAATGTAACCGGCACTGACTAACCCCATCCAGGCTGGTTTTCTCTGAACCACCGAGCCTCGGCGCCAGCACCCCGCCCGGGGAGCCTCGGCGCCGCTCGGAAACGCAGCAGAATCTCGGTGGTTTGCCTGTTAGCTCGCAGCTGTACTCGGCTCACGCGAGGCGCCCCCTCCACCGCACGAGAAGTGAGCGAAAGCATCTGCACGCGGCGGAGTCCACGAAGTCCACGGAGACCGGAGCGAGAACCGCAGCGGAGACTCGAGCCTAGCTCCGAGCTCCAGGTCCGCCGCGGCGCCGGGTTTCTAACCACTGCATCCGCGTTAGCAGCGGAGGAAGCGACGCATGTTTCCCGCGGAACCTTTCCATCATGTCGGATTGCATCCTTTGGCTGCTTGTTCTGGGACTTACGAAGTAATTCACCTGTATTTTTATCACAAACCTCTGCGGGACTCCGGTTCCTCAGCTCCAGGCTGATTCTCTTCTTCATCTCCATGATGAAGGCCGACCAAAGTGGATAAAAAGGTCTAACTTAGAAACGATAAACTAAAAGCAATTCAGTAAAGCTCTCCTTCCTCAGCGGCCATTAGACGACGATTAAACCTCCATGTTCGCTGCTGCCCGACCCCCACCATCAGACCACGCCTACCAGTTCATGAATATTCATACGTTTAATAAAGTCATCCTCTCATTGGTTCAAAGACCCGACGTTCCACGAGCCCCTCCGTCGTAGGGCACCGTGTGGATGTTTCATCAATAACTGGTGGAAACTATGAAGGCGGGACTTCACTACCACCAACGAGAAAGCGAGAATGAAACGTTTAAACTCTGTAGGCGCGAAGTCTTTGTCCCGGTAGACGCCATATTTACTGTCAACAAACTTCCATTCATAAAACCCCTGGACACCATGACTACAGCCCCAGGAGTTAATTTGAAAAGTCTATCATCTTCTCTAAGCTCCTTTAACCAGATCAGATCTGGACATTTCTTCATATTGTAAGATGATTTATTTTTCCTTTTCAATTGATATGGTTTCATGTGAGATTGGCTATTTGCTAGGGATGCTCCATGGATGAGTGGCGGCGCTGTGCCTTTGGGAGGAGATGTTTCTTTCTTCTTCGGGGTTTTTTTCGTCTTCTTATGAGGGGCTGAGAAGTTTGGCTGTTCGGTTACACGGTTGAATAAAAGTCTGCACAGCTACGCTATTCCCTCTCAGTGTCTGCTCTTTCTCTACCCACGACCTCCTATTTTATGGTGACACCGATTTAGATCACTACTTAGGTATACAATATTTACACCATCAAAAACGTAAAACATACAAAGATCAAATTAAAACTGAGAGTAGCATGCTTCAAAACATGGGCAAAAGAAGAAATAAAATGTGCAGCAAAAAGACAGAAACCAGCTGAAGAAAATGGGAATTCAATCCAGTACTTTCAAAATTGTGTTAATGGGATAGCTACTGATGCTAAAATACTACCCAGCATTGTATTTCTCTTCAATCTGGGATTCCAGGTCTTGGATCTGGGAATAAAATTTGGATTTGAGCCTCAAAACCACAGCAATTTGCTAATTATTAAAGATCATAATGGTGTATTTTTTTCCATTTTATGTGCTAAATAATACAAAAAGTGTCAGAATGGCTAATAAATATTTAAGACTTTCAACTTTCATTATTTAACTTTGGGTGGCAGATGTGTTGGATACTGAAGTCAGGGCTGCACAGCAGCCTCTCGATTTCCCAGTTGGAATTTCAGCTTTCCCATTAGTTTGGAAAACAAACACACCATGATGAGCATGGTGTGTTTGTTCGACGACCTCTAAAGGCTCAGCCTCAAGATGCACAGCCATTTTGAATTTTGAAGAATTCCAAGTGTTAAAGCTCATTATAATTGCTTCTTCTGGCTTGTAGTGCCAAGATGCACTGTGCACATTAGTGCATGTTGAGGTATATTTTGAGTCTGTAGCACCACCTTCAGACAGAACAGCAGAATGAAAGACAGGAATGTTTATTGTAATGAGAAAAGACAGCAGCAGCTACAGAGTTATAGAAGCTTTCTGTAGAAAACACTTTAAAATGGGATAAAAAACTGTAAAAAGAAAAAAAAAACATGGTTGAATAAACAACCTAAACAGGAAATGATCAATTACCAAATCTTTGGTAGATAATCAATAGAAATAAATAGATGAACTTCTGGTTTTTGGTTTCAGCTGATCTGAAGTCAGTCTTCCTGATTCTGATCCCAGATCTCTGCCTGGACTGACCCTTGGATGTTGTTACCATGGAAACAAAGCCATAGCTCTACGTCTCTCAGAGGAACGGAGGTTGTTGGGGACGACAGTAGTCAGGTGTGTTCAGGTCAGAGGGCGTGCTCTCGAAGTGGCAGCGTGTGCAGCACCTGGTCGAGCAGCTGCAGCGCCCGGTGCAGGTGCACCTCCATCCAGCAGGGGGTGTCCTTGATGCTCTGCCTCGGATAGTCGCACCCCCAGCCTTTGACGAAGCTCAGCCTCACGATGCACAGCCTGCGCAGATCATCTACACCTGGACCTGCTGCAGAGCACACACCTGCGGGCGGAGCCAAACACACCCTTACACACAGACACACAGAAACCTGCTAAACGCCCAGTTAGAGCCGCATTATTAATGAGGCGTTCAGGTGCAGTCAGGTGACACTCACTGAGTGCAGGTGCGATTCCTCCCACGCTGTGGGGTCCTGGCATCACCCCAACAACCGCAGCCGCCTGCGTCTCTGCTGCTGTCTGCGCCGCTGCCGCCTGCTGCTGCATCTGCCTGTGGCACTGGCGTAGGTCAAACACCTGTGGACACAGGTGAGACGGACAGACAGGTGAGATGAGTTTGGGTTCAAGTGTTGGTTGTTGTTTAGTATGGAGTGACAGCGAGCCAATCAGGGAGCAGGCGGAGAAACACATGACTGCTGGTGAAAGTGAAACAGGAAGTGACTGGTGATGGACCTTGATGTAAGCTCCAGGGTAGATCTTGTGAACCCCGTCACCTGGCGCTCGGCCCGCCTCCCGGTCCAGGTAGTAACTCTGGACGAACACGGAGTGGTCGCTAAGGCAACGCATCCAGACGTCCCCTTCCCCACGACATTCGAGCTGGACGCCCCGCCCAATATGGAGCCTGCAGGAAGAGACGGGTTAGTTCTGGCATGCAGCGTCCCTGCTGGTAGCTACCTACTTAAACTGGTCTAAAATGTTTTTTACTGAATCAAGCAGTCTGATCCAAACTGGTCTGAACTGCTCTATGCTGAACTGACTGGTTGGACCTGGTGGAAGCGCTTTAACCTGGCGCGGTGGCTAGCTGCAGTCCGGTGGACATTGCTCAGCTGTCCCAGACAGAACCGATCCCCGCCTGAAGGATCCACGTAGCCGTCCACCGTCACCAGGGGACAGCTGGACTGGACCTTGAACATCTCCCCCACCTGAACATCCAGCTCGAAGTAGGAGATGGAGCACCAGAACTCTGGACCTGCAGAACGGACACAGAGAGATGGGTAGACAGAGGACATCCACAGAGACATGTTGGTGTTCGGAATAGAGCCAGATTTTCTTTAGGTGTCTCACCTGGATGGTTGGAGACCGGTTGTGGGTACGGAGGACTGCTGTGATGCTGCGACCCTGGAGGTACAACACTGACTCAGCACTATCATCTTACCCAGTACCACTCAGTTGCACTCAGCAACCGCAGTACCACCTAGGCCTCCCAGCTCTACCCAGTACCCTCCACTACCTCTCAGTAGCTTCCACTGTCCCCCACTGCAACCCACTACCTCAAAGTTTCCTCGTCCACATAGTGTCTTACAGAAGTGAGTGTTGGGTGTGTGTTGATGGTGATGATGTAGCGGCGTCTGCTGAGTGTGGCTCCGCCCACTGTGCTGATGTCCTGCAGGTGTGTAGGGGGCAGGGCTGTTACCTGACCAGCTGACTGCAGAGACAAATCAGAGTGAGAGGAGGATAGCAGGATAGGTGAGCAGCAGCACAGGTGAGCAGGTGTACCAGGTGTGGGCGTCCCACTGTACTCGGGGCTCTGCTGGGCGGAAGCCGGCGTGGCGGCCTGTGGGGTCAGGGGGGGTGAGGTGCGGCCCTCTGGCTGAGGGGGCAGGGCCACCTGCAGCAGGGCGGGGTCTTCCGGAGCCTCGGCGGCGCCTAGGGCAGCGGGTATCATGGACGTCCGTCCTGCAGGAGACGTAGCAGAGTGAGATGCCAGGTAGCAGAGGGTGGACATCTCGGGAGGTTGGTGGGGGGTGCTCACCTGGCGGAGAAAGAGGCATGCTGGGATACATGGTGAGGGGGCGGGGCTGGGCATACGGGTCAGAGGAGGCGGGCAGGTCCAGCTGCAGGCAGTCCTGCAGGAACTCCTCCTTGATCACCGCCTGAGGACCTGCAGGACGACGGCTGTCAGAACCGGTTCTGATCCAGACAGCTGCAGGGGCTGCTGCTCAGGCTCAGCTCCGTTCTGGACCAGAACCAGTTCTGCTTCTGATTCAGGTGTGCGTTACCTGTGCAGGCGGGCGCTGCCACCCTCTCGTAGTGGTATGGGTTCACACACACGCTGTCATACTTGAGGTCGAAGGCGAAGCGGCAGAACTTGGCGTGCTTCAGCTCGTTCTTGTGCAGGTCAGGCCAGCGCCATAGTCGGGCGTAAATCACATGGGGGAAGCCCTTCCTGCCCGCTACCTGTGCAGGTGAGACCCACAGGTCAGAAAGCAATGATTCGGGCCTAGCCGTCGCCTCAGAGACCAAAGCTGATCGAACAGACACTGTTGCCATGAAAAGGGCAGGACATCATGTCTGACCTCAGGCTGTTGCTGCCACTACCGACCCGTCTGGAGGGACCAGTCCAGCTGAGGAAAGTGTCATCATGCGATGTTGCAGCAGTGTGTTGCCATGTGGCAGCGTGTTGCCATGTGGCAGCATGTTGCTATCTGGGAGCATGTTGCCATATCGCAACGTGTTGCCATGTGGCAGCAGCATGTTGCCATGTGGCAGCAGCATGTTGCAATGTTGCAGCAGCATGTTGCCATGTCACAGCGTGTTGCCATGTCGCAGCAGCATGTTGCCATGTGGCAGCAGCGTGTTGCCATGTGGCAGCAGCGTGTTGCCATGTCACAGCATGTTGCTATGTGGCAGCAGCATGTTGCCATGTGGCAGCAGCATGTTGCCAAGTGGCAGCAGCATGTTGCCAAGTGGCAGCAACGTGTTCCCATGTGGCAGCAGCGTCTTGCCATGTGGCAGCAACATGTTGCCATGTCGCCGCATGTTGCCATGTCGCAGCGTGTTGCTATGTGGCAGCAGCGTGTTGCTATGTGGCAGCAGCGTGTTGCCATGTCGCCGCATGTTGCCATGTCGCAGCAGCATGTTGCCATGTGGCAGCAGCATGTTGC